ACACACACACACACACACACATATGTACATACACACACGTACACACACACATTCCTGAATACTGGCGGTATTCAAAATCCCTTACCAATAAAATACCCCGGTACTCAGTTGCTTTTTTCATGCTTTTTTTTTTCGCTGGTATCGTCTATTACTACAAAACATTGACGACTTTCTTCTTCCAGATCCTGAGGAAGAGATCTACATGAAGTCTTCACTCATGGCATTTCGGGAATCTTTCGACTTCGGCAACACTGAACCCTGAGCACAGGCTGATTTAAAAAAACCAGCAGAAATTCTACACTCACGGCTAAGAGATAGAGCACGGAGCAAAGAGAGAAGACCGCTCATACAGCTACCTTTCTAAATCTCAGACAGCTGGTAAATCTAGACACAGCTCAGTGCAGGCAAGGAATTCTAGACAGGTATATATTTTTTTTCGCTGGCCAGCTGTTTAAAACATGGTCCAAGCACAACATTTTGAAGCATTTTTTTTAAATTGCCGTCTCTTAATCTGTGATATTGGTAGCATGTGCCTAAGAAATGTTGTATTTTTAGTAAGAGTTTTACATACAATATTATGGTCATATAAGTGCCGAAGTTAGAGGTGTTACGAGAGAGTAACAAACACAAAAAAGGAGGAGAGAAAATTACGATAAAAGTTTGATGGGAAAGAAGGAGCAAATAACACTATAGTGCAACCGCCAATCATCCACAAGAAACATTTTGTCAAAATTAAAATTCTAAACGTTGAGGGGAAAAAAGTAAATAATGCATAAGGCATATACTTGGAAGAATGTTTGATTTTATTTTTTTTTTATTCTAAAAAAATTGTTGGGGTTTTTTTTGTACATTTGGACAGGCTGCCTCTTCGCACTCTTCTAAACCTCTCTCAAACTCTAAGAGAAAATTACACTTTTTACATTTAAAGTTTAAGAACGCGCTCATATGACCCTATGCAGTTGCGAGCGCCGTAAAATTATACTTACCCTAAAAAAAAGGTTTTAAAAGTTTGAGAGAACGACGGTATCTAAAATATACTTGTTACCGATTGTCTCTGCCAATAGTTTGTCAAATAGAGGTTCTGCTGTTTTGTGTGTGTG